CACAATCACACAATAGTTTAAGCAAAGTGAATTACAGCTTTTGTTGGCAAAACAACACAAAAGATAAAAAGAGGAATATAAATATGCATGCATACATATGTAAAGGAGACACAGAATATTTAAGAAGTAACAGGAGGGAAAAAAAAAGAAGTTGGTGGTTTGAAGATGTAGTTGGGAAAAGAGGAAAAAATCCATCCATACTCATTCAAAATTACAGGTAGAATTTTTAGATAAGAAGAAATTAATTATACAAGCTGGAACTGGGCCAGGACACTGTCCTTTTCTATACTACAAAACGTTATCATGTTTGAACATGCTTGTAGCAAATTGAGTCACAGGACACAAAGCTGAGCACAACTTTCCTCTGAGAGTAGGAACAAGCCAGCACAGCCCCCTCTGGGTCACCCTGGTCTTATTGTCATGGGATATCATGCTTTTGAATGCAATTTTTCCAGGGCCCTGCTAAATCAGTCAGGATCCAATCCCTGACTGAACACAGTGTTCAAGTACAAGGCACCACTGTCCTTCATGCTCTTGTAGCCATTTGTGCTAATGTCACACCAGCTGAGAAGAGGGCTCACCAGGATTTAGGTACAGAAAACATCCCTGTGCAGCTGACACCACGGAGCAATTCACAGGGATGTGCAAGCTCCCTACTTGTACAGTGCTTTATTTACAACTCATGTGACAGAAAATGGGGGGACAAGAGAGGAAACATGACATTGCAGCTGACAGACAACCTCAGTCTTCTTTTTCACTCCTGACTGAAAGCAGTGAAAACTTCTTACATCAATAGATCTTCCTGCAGGAGGAACCTGTTAGCCTCTCCCAATGAGGTTTTATCCTATGCAAGGCACCGCAGTAATGACTTTTGCTTTAGGGTCCTTTAATAAGCCTTCCTAATTTGAGAATAATGAAGACTGAAGGGTTCACATCCCTTAGGCCAGTCAAGGAAGAGGGCAGCCCAGGACAGTAGAGATTGGGGAGGATACTAATATATTCTAATTGCTTGCTAAACTTTTCTTGTTTGCCTGGTACAGAAAGGGGCCCTCTTTGCTCCATTAATTTCACTGCTGGCACATGATGGAGTGATTTCATCACCCTCACCCTGCACAGGAGGATGTGGCAGCTGGCACAGGACCTTTACTGGGGCAGTCATATTTCTACATCCCTTGGGATTAATGTTAAAAAGACACAAATAGGAAGACACAAATAGGAAGGCAGTGCACACAACACAAGAGGTGTTGGGAAATCTGCCTGCTCCTGATCGGTTGAGTCCATTTGCCAGCATTTTCTGAGGGACAGCCACAAGATGTGGTGCACCCAGCAGAGGAGAGTTGGTCACTGAGTCAAATGCAGGAGCAAAGGTCCTCCTGAGCTACAGCTGCACTGTCAGTGCTGTGGAGAGTGTCAGGGGTTATGTCCTGAAGGATGGCTGTGTGGTTGTGTTCTGGGACAGACATGTGGGGACCCTTGCTGTACTGAAGACAATGTCAGCCATTGCAATCATAAGTACTTTTGATTTCAGCTACATTTTTTCCCAAAGACATACATTATTTTCTGTCTCTTTTGCTGCGCATTGATCTGCCATTGAGTACAGGCTGCCAAGAGATGCCTCAGACAATAGAGTTCATTACAGTTCATTGTGCTCCCATTTTACATCACTCAGCCCTCCCCTCCTCTGTGCCTGACATTTTCAGCTACCCTGCAGCAAAGAACTTGGCCAGGAGGGAATTCCAATCCCACCTCTATCCTCAGGGCCTGTCACTTAGTGCAACTCACCTGTAAGGGAGGCATTTACCCCCCAGTCATGTCTGCCATCTTCAATTAAATATAAGCAGTGGGCTTTGGTTGATCTGTCCTTAGTTGTCTTCTACTGAATATGTCCATGGGTCCAAACTCCCAGCAGATGTTCCCCAGACAATGAGTTTGGTGGGAGATTTCTCTGAGCCAAAAGATATATCACTTTGGAGAGGATGTAAATATTTTTCTATAGTCCATTGACTAGACAGAGTCAATGATGCCAGTGAAAACCTAAGCATATAGCTGAGGTTTGAACCCCAAAACTTGGATGAGTCCCTAAACACACACACATACACACACATACACACACATACACACACACACACACACCAATGCCCATCATCCAAACAATTATAAAATAAATACTCTTCCAAGGGCAGTTGTGCCTCCTACGCAGGCCTTGGGCAAGCATGGCCTGGTTTGAGAAATGCTTACTGCTTAGAGGAAAGAGGTTTGGAGATATCCCCTGCTAGACACTGGTTAGGGTGTCCCTGTTAGGTAGATGCATCCCCACCTATGTGGTGAGAGTAGCAGATCTTGGATGGAGCAGTGAATAGCTGTTTTCTATCACTGTGTTCCTGTGCTGTGTTTAAAAGCTTTTATGTGAACCTTGGCTCTTTAAAGGACCAAATGGGTCAGTAAGTGCTAGTGACATCAGAATAAACCTATACTTGTCAAACTTGAGTACCATAAGAGCAGTAATAATGTGATTATTTCCCTACACATGTTTACCCACTTTTTCATACCTAGTCCCAAATCACCAGATTGTGGCTGAGGTGAAAATAAGAAGAAAATCTATAGAGGAAACTTAATCAATCTCTTCCCACTTTCAGCACATTGTTGTCCATCTGGGAGATTCAGAGAGGGAATCTGATTTTTCAGTTGCTGTCCCACTTACTGATAGTACCTCCAGACCTCTTAAATATAATTTGCTTTAGCTAAACCACTGTTGAGCTGAAGTCGAATTTGAGTTTTGAGCCATTTAAAAAGTTCTGGGTGGATTTTATTTCAGTGAAATTTACAGAAGTGGAAAAACCCCTGAGAAATACTTTTCTACTGTTCAAATCCTTCTTCAATCCCTTTTGATGATTATCTATACTTTTCTCTCACACACTCCATTTATTTTTCTTTTTGGATTACTTGTAGTCTATTAGGAGTTTTCAAGTGTGCAGCTTGGCCAAAAGGTGAGTATTTTCAAACCTGAAATTAAATTGGCAAACATTTCTATCTTCAAAACAGAACCTGTCAATTAAAAATTTCAGTAATGAAAAAAGGAGTAAATGTTTAGAATGGTATTGAAAAGGTATAAAATCTTTCTGTTTCGAAAAGATAAAAGCTCAAACACTGAAACTTCCAAACCATTAGTTTCCCTGCACCTTCAGCCAAGACTTTGTTCTGGCTTGCGTGAAATGCCTGCCTGCCTCTGGCACATGAACCCGGGCAAAGAGCTAAAGTTTGAATAAACTATACAGTATTTCAGCTAAGTGTTGGAAGTTAACCAATTTTGGTGAAGTATCCTGCATTTGAGTGGGAATTAATGCAGCTCCATTCCAGACACGGAAAACAGAATTTTGTTTTCTTAGCAAAAAATATCAAGTGCTGGCAGAATTGGCCCAAAAATCACATTTCATTTTTTTTGCATTAAACCACTGTCAAAAAAGTAATTATTACTCATCAAAATTGTGTTGTTGGAACTCAGAAATATAAGGATGAGTACCTTATATCCACACATGATTTGAGACTGAAAACCAAAGCCCCAGTATCACCTTTTTTTTTTTTCCCCTTCTGGTATCATTAAGGTCGCTGGTGCATCAGTAGATTTTGAGACTGGGAAGAACCACTGTCACAAGGCTATCCACACAAGCAGCAGCTGAGTCATTTCACTGCAGCAAGCCCAGTGACTTACTGGGGGAAGGAAATGGGGCAGGTATGTCAGGGGTTGCAGCTTGACAGTAGAGGCCTGGAGCTGCACTCCTCGTTGGGTCTCAGATAATGTCCCACTTCCTTCAGTGATGAACAGCAGGGCAGACATGGGTAATGACCCATTTGTCTCTCCAGCTTCATATAAAAACTGAGTATTGAGCCTTTCAGTCTCTCCTGTGCTATTATTGACTTCTCTCTCATCATTAGTACTTAATATCTATTTTCAGGATCATCAATACGCATGGGCTTGTGTATATATAATCCTATTTACCTTCATGTTTACTAGCTGGAGATTTTCTTTCCCTGGTTCACAGTTTTGCTCACCTTATGAATTATCTTCATTTACTAACATTTAATTTGTGTCAGCTGCTATAAGCTCCTTGGCTGAACACTGCATTTCCTGTTCTGAATCTGACTTGGTGCATCTGAGTATTTCTGCTATGTTCCACACTTTTAATTGCACCCCACAGGTAGTCTAGCATCCTCTGACTAGCTCAGCTAGTCCATTTTCTTTATTTTTAGCTCCCCTAAAAATAACTGACTGCCCTCTCACCATTAAAGGTGATGCACAGCACTGTATTTCCAAAACATGTCAGTTCTTAGCATTTCTTTATAAATAACCTCTTGAGCCTTTCCTATTGTTTGGACCAGAGTAACCTCTGCAAATATCAACTCCTTCCCTCAACTTTCCTATAGTCTTGGGGGTTGTGATTAACGACTGATGTCAAAATAAAGTGACACCATTGAAGACTTCCCTACCATCTTTGCCACCCCTGTCTTTCCCACTCCTCTATAGTCTCGGTCTGGGCTTTGTTTTACATAAACTATGTGCCAAAGCCTTGTCACTTGCTGGCTGACAAGAGGGGTTCAAGATATCTCCGAAGTCTTGCAGGTTGGTTAGCAGTGATATCAGCAACTTTTTTCTGCGTGTTGCATGACTTTCATCATGCAACCCCCAGAAATATTTTCAGGCAGTATAAAGGGAGATTCAACCCATTGAGACTATCTCCCATTCCTGTCTCTGCCTCAATATCATTTGTGTTTCATGAATATGATCAGGCTCCTTCATCCACTCACTCTCATCATCCAACCCCAAGAATGTAGCCTCAACCCAGGGCTAATAGTGGACACCAGGGCAAGAGCCCCTCTCAAGTAACATTTTCATCCTAATTTCAACTCATCACCATTTCAGACTTTTAAAACATCACTCATGCAGCAAAATTCCCAGGCATTTTCCAAGATAAGAACAAAATGAACGAAGACGACAAGGAAAATATTCTGATTATGGGTTCCAATTTTTTAACCCTGATATTCTGTGGTACATTTCTTTATTTTCGAATATAAAGTGACAGAAATAATTTGTTGTTAGAAAAGAGAAAGTATCTTTTACTATTTACAGGTTTTGTACATCACAAAGGTTTTAATGCTTTTGTTGATTTTTCTTTTTTTTTTTTTTCTTTTTTTTTTTTTTTCTCCACATCCTTTAAACAATGCTGAACTGGAAATCTCAACAGTTCACAAAAACCCTCTTCCCCAGAAACAAACCCCCATGAGAAACAAGAGAAATCAGAGGGAAAAAAAATTAACTCCTTTCATAATTTTCCAGGAAATCCATTTGCTTAAATACATATATTTTTATATTTATAGATATTATTTTTTCAAGTTCAAACACCCAAAATTCAAGAGAGAAAGGGAAAAAAAACAACCAAAACAAGTGTCTTCCCCACCCCCCTCCAGAATCTCTTGATCCCTGCTTGTCCAAAATCAGAAAGAGTTATTTACAGAAAGAAGAACCGGAGGAGGGTGAGGGCGTAGGAAAGAGGAGAATGAGGTTGTGACAGGCGGAGAAAAGATTGTAGGATTAGGGCCTCGGAGAGGTGAGGCAAGCCTGAGTTCGACTGCGCTTTCCCTTAGGAAGACGCTACACTGGGGAAGTGTCCCCTGTGTCCCCTTGCCCCGTGTTCAGCGCAAGGTGCTGCCTTTCTGGATCCTGTCCCAGCCCCACACAGGAGCTCGGTGTTCATCGCTGCCCTTCTCCCCACACCCTCCCTTGTCTTCCCCTGCCAGCCAGCCAAACCTGGACGTCTCCATCCAAAGGTATTACAAGGAGAAGAAGAAGTACCTCAGGGGTCTCCGCTGCACCCAGCTGAGCCCCTTCACATGGATGCATGACAGGCAGCAATGGTTGATGCCCCTTTCCCTCCCACCAGCTACTTTTGCTGCTCACCCATTTCACTCCCAGTCTAAAGTCACTGAGTGCTCAGCTAAACTGTGTGTTCACAGGAGCCTAACTCCAGGTCCATAGGTTCCATTACATGAGACTCATCCTGCTGCCAACTAACCTTGGCACCCTCTCCTTCTGTTTCATTACTGCAGGGCACTGGCAAGTAACAGGCACTGTGGAAAGACTTCACAGAAAATCCACCTCAGATCCCAATTCTTCCTTCTCTCTTTACAATATTCTGACTTCAGCTGCAACCTGCTGGAAAAGGTCTGCCAGACAAGTCAAATTTTACATGACAGAAAATGAAGTTTATGCTGCAGATGTGAGCCTGCAATTTCCACATGATTTGTGTGTATTATAATATATTCATCAGGAAACACTATGTAAATGTGTGTAAATGCAGACCATGATCTTAAATCAGTTTTGCATAATGCAAGTAAACAAATTAATCTCCCAAAGTGCTTGTAAATGTTAATAAAAACTTGACATTAACTGTTAACTTAATGTTACTAGATGATAATGTTACTGGATGAGAAAGCAGTGTTGTGTGCCACATGTGCCCTTAAAATGCAAATGAGTAAAATCTACATGTCCAAGCAACATGTTCTTGAGAACTCAAATTGCTGTTTGCTGCAAGTCATGTAAACTCTACTTTATCTTTAAAAAACTGCCTCCTCCCCAGAGAGAGTAAACCATCCAAAATGTAAGGAACGCTTGAATATTTGAAGAGTGGCAGTGACTGTGTAAGTAGGAGTATGCATAATTTAAAGAGATTTTGGCAAGACAGATCTACAATTCTGGAGCAATTAATTAGGCTGCAAATTGAACTAAGCTGACCCATAACCCTAGGAAAGCTGGCTTTATCATCCTAGACTTTTGAAAACAAAAGGAAGCTGGGTCAACCTCTGTCCAGTTGCATGTTTGTTTGCACTTCAAACCATCCTTCAAGGTTTGAAAGCAATGCCCAAGAAGTAGTTGGCCAGAAAGTTAATTCACTATTCAAACAGACCAGGATGTCTTGGATGAAATTCATGAAGAGTTGCCAAGCTGAATGAGCACTTTGCATGATACAAAGAGGTTCTTGATGAAGCTTCTCCAATGTGACAGTCTGAGGTGTTACTGCACACTGGTGGAACCAAAAAAAGGAAATTATTTTCTATACAATATTTTGACAGTCTCCCTGTAAACGCTGAAAATTTGTAGCAGCCTGACAAAAGCAGCAAAGGGATGCTTGAGACTACTTGTGAGGAGTACAGTAAGACCTTGATGTGCAAGTTTCCAAAGAAAGGAAATGAGTTGTATTTTGAATCCTAGTAGAGCTTCAGCTGAGAGAAATTAGGTCAAGCTGGCAGCAGAGGCTGAGCCCCATGTACTGTACACATCCTCAGAGAGTATTTACAGTTCAGCACCTCTCTGGATTAGGTCCATACATGCACTTTCCTGTGCTACCTGTAAAAGTAGAGCTAATTGAAGCAATCACAATTTGTGGTTCAAGTTCTCTTTGTCCAAGTCTGGGATAAGTTACAGCATCCTCAAGGCTTTGCCCAGTTGAAGAAGTGGAATGAAGCTGGAAAACAAGAGCACTTGCCAGAATAGCAAGATTTCTCACCAAACTCACCTGAAGCAGAAGTCAATTGCCCTGGGCATGCTGTCATCCCTTTATGATTTCCAGAAGTGTAAGAAGAAAACATCCTTCCAGGTACTGAAGTGGCGACTCTGGGGTCTTGTGTCTTGCTCCTGGTCACAGATTCTCCTCTTCACTCTTCCCCTGCCTGTGTAGGAAAACCTAATCACTTTAGAGCATGGGGGGAATCTCAATTGGGTGGATGTGCACAGTGCTGCAGAGACGAGTGTATCTCTCTCAAATCTTGAAAAGAAACAAAAAAACTCCCAAACCAACAGGCTGAGACCCTGATTGGCCCTTCAGGTTGAGATCTGTCAACATCCCAAATCAAGTCTCCCAGCACAAACTTCCTACTACTTCTGACTGCATCCCAGAAAATTACTACAATGCTTTCTCCAAAGAAAGCATTGCAACCACAAACATAAGACTTTTCCAAATGAAAATGCCAGATGTCCTTTTCCTCTGCTCCTAGTCTTTATCGCTGTTCATACAAGTTATACCAAGTCACCTGGCTTATCATGTCTGGATGCCTCAATTATTTCCCCTACAAAATGTATGTCTCATTTAACCTTAATAAAATTAGATGCAAGTGCATGCAAGATTTCAGGACATTTGCATAATATATGTAAACTATGGCATCTATCAATTTATTTGTTAATGTAAATGCTAATATTAATGTATTTTAGTTTAGCGTCAAAATTGCAAACTCTTTGAACTAAGGACCGTGGCAGAGTGAAGCATCAAACATACAAATCTTGTCAGAAAAAAAGACTTAAATGGTTTTGATCAATTTTATGTCAGGGTTTCACCCTGCTGGCACAGCATTTCATTTTACTTGCTGCTTCCCAAATTAATGACTGGTACTGATAAGGTCCAACTCCACAGCAATAGTGTTGTTAGGAGAGGGGGAGTCATTTTGATCAACACAAAATTACCCCTGAAGCCACCAGTCACTGCTTGCATTTGATGTGCATCCCCAAGCATACCTTTCTGATGAAATCCTGTCCCACATACTACCTACTTCCCCCTCAGTGACAAGTGCTACAGCGGAGGGAACTTTTGCATCTTCTCAAGGGATCCTCATATCCTCAGCTCAACCCAGGGCATCCTCCAGGATTAGTTGTTAGTTGAGATTAATATCACAATAATTTAGGCTTAGGAGAACTCAATTAATTTATCTCAGTATTAAATACTCCAGCCCCTTCATAAAGAGATTTTTTAAAAGAATAAACATTTCTAGCTTCTGTAATGGAAATTTCTAAAGACATCCAAGCATCTAAGCACAATTGGTTTTCAATAAGATGTGTTTTGATTTAATAAATTTCTTGTGTGCTTCTAAAAATCCTTCCCTACATGATGCAAACATGGCAAAATCATTAACTGTTTATTTCTTCCCGACACACAGTGCTAATGGCTTACATTTGGGGTTGCCTGGGGTGCTCTAGGTCCAGGATGTGTAGTAGGGGATCTTGAACAGAGCCAAACAAGTGTTAAGTGATGAAGACTCTGGACTCAGGGCTCATCCCTTGAGACCAAGGTGGCAGAGAAATTGACCCTGCCCTCTGTGGCAGGAACTAGTCTATTCCCTCAAAAAAAAAAAAACCAAAAAAAACCAACAAACAATTAAAAACACAAAACCAAAACAAAAACAAAAACAAACCCAAAAAACCCCAAAAAACCAAAAAACAAGTAGAAACTTGTGCAGAGACTGTGTTTGAACACCAGTCAAAAATCTGCCTTATTCTACCCCTGCAAAACAATGCTCTACATGGAGAGACAAGTCAGAGTTTCCAAGTGAGGCAAGAACCTTCTCTTTCTCCTTTCCAGGAAATTTTCCCTTGGGAGCTGGGAAAATGGAGAAGGAAGAACCAATTCCTTCTTTTCTGCTTTGATGCAAGTCTACACACGAAGCCTTGAAGGAGTGGTGAGCACACGGTGTAAGTCACTCAGCATTCCAGTGCGCGGCCCCTGCCCAAGGGCAAGCGCTTACCCAAAGCTTCACCTTGCAGCTGGCAGGCGTCCGTGTCTTGCCTTCTCAGCAAGGATAACTAATCAAAGAGCCACAGAGACAGCTCCAAAGCATCATGCTGCTCCAGTTTTAATCTAATGCCTCAGACAAGAAAGCGGCCATGAAACCCTTATTCCCTGCATGTAAAATGGGGAAGGTCAGCAGGGACAGCAAACTCAGTTGTCACTGCAGCACAGAGAGAACCCTGAAGTGGCTTGAGGAGGAAGAATATCCGAACAGTTAGTTCCTAAGCAACGTGAAGCTGCAAAGTTAGACAAAGTGGCTGGTTCATTACAACTAACTCTTTTTCATTCAAAATAAGATGCTTTTACCAGTATCTTAACACATCAAGGTTCAGTCTCCAGAGCTGAAAAAGGAGTATCAGTGTGCAGGAAAGGACCAGAACATGGGGAAGTGACTTCATTACATGGAAAAGTCCTTACATGTGAAAGGCCTAAAAGAAGCCTAATTGTTTGCTTCAATAAGTAAAGAACATCAGATTATCTTCCCCAGGTATGGGAAATACCCCTTTGCAAATGCCTTTCCTGTAACTACAATCCTAGTCCCTTGTTCAAATGTCAAAAAGACACATTGAATAGCTGTTTTTTGCTGACATAATCTTGGCTTCCTGGTAGTCAAACAAATAATCTATGAGGGCAAACAAACCCAGCAGCACTCGTTAAGAAAGACAGACACATTTCAAGAGTATCCAAGGTTTACACGCTCCAGACCTCCAGATTCCTGCCTTTGCTGTACATATGTACTGGAAGGAGTTCTGTCCTCCCTCTGGCATGGTTGAATGTTGACCTGAAAGACCTGATATCTGAGCAGTTTGGTGCAGAGACAAGGTGAGCAAAATGAAAGCTGTTCCACTTTTGTCATTAGGTCCTGTGGGTCTAAGGGAAGATAAGCCTGCTGCTTCATTCCAGGGAAGTGAAGGTGAGCGAGCACACAGGCTGGAGTAGAATGGCCCTTGGCTGAACTTCCAGCAAAGCATGTTGCCACAGCCCTGGTTCCAGAGTCTGAGACATTATGCTTGGAAACCTGAATCTTCAGAGCACTAGCCAAGCATCTGCCTTAACTTTGTTCCACTTTATGGGTCCACCAGTAAGAAATGCAGAGCTAGTGCAAAATGATCACAGGTGGAAGATACCATATTCTTTGTAAGGAAGCAAGTGGAATCTACAGGGACTGAAGCAAAGTGAGATGAACAATACCCCTAATTTTTGTGAGTGTGTAATGACTTCTCTGCCCTTATTAATCACTTAACAACACAAAGGAGTCTCCTATAAAGGAGCAAGAGCCCTTTTTCTTAACATGCAAGGGCAGGAGGTCACAAGGGCAAAAAGGATGGGACTAGCAGACAGAACAAGTGGGAAGAATGGTAAATAGCCAGATAATCATTGGAGAGACAGCCTAGATTTGTAACTAATAATGAGAAGAGCTTCATAAAGCAGACAAAATCTCTTCGTCCCTGTAGGAGTCAAAAAGCAATCACAGATGGCATGGCATAGGGATTAGCAACAGGGAGAGACAGGCTAACAAAGACCCACAGAGGCCAAGAAGATGCTTCAGTATTTGGTATTTTTTATGCTAGCAGGACTCTCCCTCTTTTTTCCACCAAGAGGTAATGTTCCCATGGATCCCCTTTCATACCTGGCTCAGAACTCAAGAACCCACCAGTCTAGTTGATCTACACCATCATTGTCTTCAGGTCCTCCTTATCAACTTCACCCAAGTCTATACTGACTTGAGCACAAGACAAGATTTTTATCCAGGATTCTTTTTCCTAACACACTGCTAGAGATGTGGCCTAAGTTGATATTGAGACTTCACTGTTTTTCAGGCTTGTCAGTCAGTGCTGAACACAATTTATTTAATACCTTATTTTAAGCTATATAGTACGCAATTTGCCTCTTCCAGTCTAGAGTGTAGAAGACACCCAGACAAAAAGGACAGAAGCAATAGAGAAGGTCCCCTGCTAGCAGGCAGGGCAATGTTGTAATGATTGTGTTGGAGATGGGAGCATGAGGGAGTGAAGCTGAAATTCATTTCCAGGAGATCTGATTCACTCAGGCATGTGGAATACCTTCAAGGCAGAATGAACAGAGCAACCTACCAACTTTCCTTGACCATTCCTGAAACCAGCATCTCCTGTCTTCCAAGCAAGAAGAATTCACAGCATGTGCTGAGGAACCACCATGATCCACAGCAGGGTGGAGTGAGTGCTAGCACCTGCTCAAAGGCAATGCAGTGCTCCAGCACCTGAAATCAGAGCCCTCAGTGGAGATAAAGAGCACTGATAACCTCACCTCCTTCAGGGGAGCAGAGAATCACAGCCATCATTTCTAAGAGGGTCTGGAATGCTGAGACGACCTACTGTTTTGTCTGGAATTTGGAGAGGCAATCTGCTTCCTTTAATAAACTGGTGGGGAGGAGTAAAATTTTTTTAAGGAGTGAAGAATGGCACCAATCTGTCCTGCAAAAGGACACTAGCTTATTCTCTTGCTCAGAAGGAAATGTGAAGAGCCCCTGGTTTAACTCCTATAATTCACACTACAAAATAAAGAATTTTTTCAGTCCTTCATTAATGTCTCACCTCCTTTGTACCTGCCTCCCACTATTGATACCTCAACTACTCAACAATCTTAAATCAAGAAGAAAAAATCACGATGAATGCAACCCTCAAAACCAATTCATGGCCATTTTTAAAATTGCCTTTTGGTTTTTTGAGTCCTTGGGATTCATTCTGTTCGTATTTTCAAGGGTTTCTTCCCAGCAATCAGAGATATAAAAGATCTTTTCATATAGAATGAGTTGTGGTTTTTTCTTCTTTTTTTACATAATCACAAGATTCCAGCTACCAAGACTGAATACCAAGACTGAAGAAAAACATTATGTACTGTGAATCTCACAGTAAAAGCCATGACTGCAGTATCCCTCTCTCATACACCACGCTTCTCTCTTCCTTCTTTGTCCCTCAATAACTAAACAAAAACACCCTTTGCACAGCTTTTATTCTTGATCATTTTATTTTGGTGGTTTTCATGCTACATAAAAATTATTTTTTATATCAAAAAATTATTCACAATATTTCCAAAATAGTTCAAGTTTTTTTTTCCTTTTTGTGTTTTTTAAATATTTTTAATGTATTTTTATTTCTTTTTTTTTTTTACTGCAGCTAGGGTTACAAAACATCCCATTTCCTCTCGCCACCACCAATTCACTGTCGGTTCCCTTTTACATTTGCATATGTAAAAAAAAAAGAAGAAAAATAACAAAACTTTTTATATAATTTACTTGAGAAATAAAAAGTCATTTGGCACTCATGTCTCTGTGGCTCTGATTTTCACCAGTGAAGTGGCTGGAGGTGGGCGTGTGTGTGTGTGTGTGTGTGTGTGTGTGTGTCTGTGTGTGTGTGTGTGTCTGTGTGTGTGTGTGTGTGTCTGTGTGTGTGTGTGCACATATGCATGCAAAAAGGGTACGAAGAGGAGGCAAAATTTAGGCAAAGATGGTCTCAGAAGGGGACAGGATATATCTGCTGTGTTCAACAGCCTGATGGGTGGCCAGGTTCATCACAAGGTACCAACAGCTCAAGAGAAGAGGAGGTAGCAGTGTTGGGCAGTAGAAGACTTAGACTAGAGGTGAGTATTTTTCTTTTGGTTGATAGACTGAGCTTATCAAAGGTGCTCTCCAAAGTAAATGTACATTAGTTAGAAAGCAAATACAGCTGAAGTTGACCTGTGCCAGGTCTAGAGACGCTACCTGCCCCAACCCTAGTAGACACAACAGTCCTCCACTGCTGTCCTCAGCCACTTCCAAGTGCCAAAGGATGAAGGTGCTGGGTTTTCCCTTAGGTGTCATGATATTGAGAGCTGGCCAGCTGCCCATGCACCACCTTTAATTCCTACTTCATGGTCTGTGGGACTCTGATCAGCCCTGAATGATGTTGTCCAAGATGAGAGTCATTCCTACCCACTTGCAAATAGGTTAGGAGAGGCAAGGCTGAAGACTTCTGGCCCATTCAGGGTCATTCATTTGTCCCTGTTGCAGACCTACATGCCTGGCTCCTGCTCCAGTGTGGGAAGGACTGTGCAGGGGTCAGTGAACCATCTTTCCCTGCCTGCCCTCCAGCCTGGTCCACAACCCACACATACTAGAGGATGATCATCTGTGGATGACCATTCCCTTTGGGTCAGGCCCCTCTGCTACAGGGGTCTTGTCCCAAGAATGGTCATGGAAACTGCCAATTCCATCCTCATTTGGACAACCTTGCATGGCTTCAGAAGGGCAGGACCCAAGGGTCAGACAGGCTCCCTGCCTTGCAGCAGCCTTTGGTGCAATGGCCAAAGATCACTGGAGAAACATTTTAACATTTTTTAAGGGAAAAACAGAGAAATTTTAAAAGGAAGAAAAGAGAGGGAGTCCCCCCCCCAAAAAAAAAACAAAAAAAAAAAAAACCAAAACCAAAAGAAAACCCCACAACAAAAATCTCCAAAGCCCACTTGTGCAACAATTAAAAATTTTGTCTTCTGTGACTCCATAGGGAAGTCATTGAAAAGCTACTTCCTGAAAGGCTGCTGCCCCCACTATGTACCAGGCCTCACCTCCAATTACAGATGGTGCTTTGGTCACTGGCAAAGAGACATTCCAAGATAGCCTTGCCATTCAGGAAAAACATGTACAAGGGAAAGACCCCAAATACAGCTGAACCATACAAAAAAGAACCGCACAGAACTGAGGTCTCGGAAAGTTGTATTGCTGAAAACACCTCCCTGCGCCCACTAAAAGGACTGTGTAAACAAACAAACAAACAAACAAACATACAAAATAAATCAACAGCTAAACAATAAACCTTTTCCCCCCCATGTTAGAAATTTTGAAAATGCAAAGCTAAAAAGAGCAGTTTGCTCTGTTTCTGACCTCTGGTGAGAGACAGCCTGCTCCAAAGATAGGAAAAGCAACCAGACAGGCAAAGAGGCCTCCAAAGCTAGCAGCTTTCTGTGCTAACCTCCACACTGACTGCCGTCCAGTGGAAAGGTCATTTCCTACAGCACCTCTTGAAGGCTCCAGCTTGCTAGGATTTTTTAGGTGTATAGCATGTAGATAATAGCAATAATATCTAAAATACACACACGCACATGTACAAGCATTCACACACATATATCTTCTCTTCCATAAAAGACAAACCTGGCAGAGTACAGGATACAATTTGATGAAGAGGAAAGAGCAGCTAGACATGGAAGAAAGCAGAGGAAGTGGATGGAAGTGGTCCGATAAAATGACTCATTGGAGTCCACAGATTATTCTCTCACATTTCATATATATGAAGAAAAAGAAACCATCAAAGAGGCCCAGTGACACCAGCACTAAAGAGCTGGTTAAGCAGACTTAAGATAGGCTAAATGATGAGTGCCCCAGCCCCTAAATGTTGCTCCTTCCTTATCTGAATAATCATGGCATCTCTTCATTGGGTCCTGATTGTCTTCTCTGGCTGCTGACAGAGGACAGCAGTGTCTTGTTCAGCAGTTTGGCCAGTTAAAGTGCTGTCCCAGTTGCTGTAGGGCCCTCCCAGCAGGTCATCCTCTCTGGTGCTAGCACTCTTGTGATCTCTCCTGGAAATGAATGGGATGGAGAATGGCAGAAAGTCTACTCTCTTCTACTCTCCCTATTCCCTGTCCCCTCTGGAGAAATGGAACTTCTCCAGAGTGTGGGATTTGCAAGCTCCAAGCAGCAAAAGTGATGTTCTTCCAGGTAATGGGATGGGAGACCAATTCACCTCAGCTCAGCTTTTTTGTGTGTCTATCTGACACAAGAGCAAGAAAGGATGGGCTAGTGTTTTCTTGCAAGCTGAATTTAAGTGCTTGTATCGCCCTAGGAGGCAGCAAAATGAATAGCAAGGGAGTCTCTTGTTACAGTCACAGATTAGATTGACCAGATCTCTCCTAAAAGTCCTTACCAGTCAGTGTGTGATTGTCTTCCTGTTCCACCTACCAGTTAAGGCCAAAGTAAGTAATGAGTGTGGCACAATGGTTTGGAAATGTGGCACAGCAGATGAAGCACAGAAGTGAATGAACACATGGAATGGGTTTCTGATGCTGTAGTCAAACCCTCTATAGGGCCTGCATCCCAGCCTCATCACTGATTCAGAGCTGGTCCCCTGGAATCCGAAAAAAAGCAACCATACCAGGGTGTACCAGGAAGGAACAAGAGGGTTGCCAATTTACCTGCAGGTACCTACCATCATCTGGCTTTAGCATCATACAGCTCCCATCACTTTTGTCTCAGCTCAAACACATGCATACAAACACCTAAGAACACGCACAGTGGCACCACACATACAAATGTGTGCAGGCTGCATAAATACACATACCAACATGAACCCACCCCTGCTCCCCATAATAGACACGTGCAAAAAATACAGACAAGTAGCAACAGGCATGCAGCATACACATGGTGATCCCAAGCAGAGGGAACTCCTCTAAGCTATGTTCAAGCATGGTAGGTTCCTGGGAGATGAATCCTGGCAAAATACAGTGCAGGAAGAGGCCCACACAAGGAAGAGAATCCAAAAAAGCCATTCCAGGCATCTAAACCCCTAAGTAGCTTTTCCAAAAGCTCCTTGAATTTCACAGGAGTTTAGCTGCCTGTGAAGATGAATTTGTCTCCAAGACCTGGAAGGAAAGCAGAGGGAGAAAGTACAAAACTTGAGTCTTATCCCTTTGACTGATTTTTGTCTTTTCAGAGACAGGTATCACCTTTTTCCAGTTGACATGGGACTTACCATCCAAGTGACCAAGGACCTAGAGAGAAGTCTCATGTAATGGAAGCATTCTCTCTGGACACCCTGCAAATGTTGCCTTTATGCTGTACTTTTGCACTAAACGGGCCAGCATTTCCAACTCCCCTTATGTTTAGAGTTCTGCCAGGAGTCACTGAAATGTACAAACATACACCTCCTCCCAGACTTACAGGAATTTGTAGCCATGTATTCACCGGTACACAGACCTCCGTGGAACATGCTGAGACAGTTATGCCAACATCATAGCAAGGGTACATCAGAAGCCTGACTACCCTCCTCACACCTGTAAGCAGAGATCCATTCCCAGGAGCCTGTGGTGGGTTTCTCACCCAGAAATCAGAAACACAAGCTTGCAATGGAATGTCAGGTTGAGCAAGAGTTAGCTGCAGCTGGGAGAAGACTGCTGCTCTGAATAACCTTTGGCCATGCTGACCCTTTGCATTGCTCCCTGCACTGCCTGTGTACTTCCATACAACTGCACTACACACACAGAGGCTGACTGGCCCTTTCTCAGACTGTGGCCAGCAGATCCTGGTGTCTTCAGAGATAAGCAGCCAGTGCCAGGTGGATTGATGTATATTCATTAAGAAACAATGCAATTGTCACAAAGAGATGTCTTGGCATCTGCCTAAAGCCTCTACCAGTCTCACGTTGGCTCTCTCCATGCTTATTCACCATCATATCACTCTCCTTACTGCTATGACATCAGACCACAAACCCTAGCAGATAATGCCAAGTACCAGCTTATACTGATTTGTCAGACAGAAAAGGACCAAATACTACCAGGCGTACCAGGTCTGCAACACAGCAGAACTTCACATAGGTCTTTAGAAGCCTTTAGGCAATAAGTGAAGTGCCCTGTGCTCTTAAAAGATAGCATACTTCTCTCCAGCAGCCTTGCTTTATTCACATAGAGTAAAAGCAAAGAAACGGTACTGATCCTGATATGGGTCAACCTGAAGTGGATAAAAACTGTATCTCTCCCTGCTATAAATGTATCAGTCAGCCATCAAATACAGAAATTATGTTCTTTCTCTGGGCTTTCTCGGAAAATACAATTTCACTGCTCGCTTGCACGGGCAAACTTACCATGCTGATGATTTCTTGAGTGTGCAAGAACAGAACACTAGCTCAGTGAACATGACAGAGAAGTCAAAAATAGCTACAAAATATAATCTTTTAAAAATCTGGTCATGGCTAGAATTTTCCAGGAGAGAAGTAGATGCCTGCCCTTCACTCATCTTCTACACAGCATTGCACAGGCTGATGAAGACAACAGAGAAACAAGAGAAAAATAAGAGCAATAAGAGAAGGAGAGTGGGGAAACAGCTAACATAAGTAATTCTGAGGGAAGAGGCATTGAGATGAAATTGAAGAATTGGTGTAAGATGGGAAAGTAGATAAGAGGCCAGGGAGATGAAGCAGTAAGCTGCTGGAGAGATCAAAACACCTGAAAATGAGGTTCTGCTAAGAGGAAGGACAAAGAGCAGAGGAAATAAAAGTGGTCAAGGATGGCACAGAGGGTCTGAGACAATGCTCCCTCCCCTTTCACTGGTACTGGAAAGACCACAAGAAGAGGGAAAAGGAAGGGTTGACCAGGAGAGGAAGGCCCATAGAGAGGTCCCTGTAATCCACTGTAACAAATGTATCCTGCTGACATCCCAGGGAGAAGACAATGGGGACCAGGGAGGAGGAAGTAATCAAAGAGCAAAGCACATAGAGAAGGAAACAGCCTTGTGCCTCACACAAACAGTCCCTAGCAATCAACACGGCTTTTATTACAGGAAATTATTAACACCCTCTGCTACCCACCACCCCTTACCAATCCCAAACCTCCCCTCTCTGGGGACCCTTTCTTGGCACACACATATAACATCCAGATAAACTTTCCAAACCAGCAAAAGCAACCACTGAAACAACTTCAAACACCACAGACCAATAAAACCACAATTTAGAACTTAACTTTCCCAACCCCCCCCATGCCATTATTTAATAAGGAAATACTGTACAGATATAAAACCCACCCTTTTCCCAACCTGAATATAATTGCTTGAGCTAGTTTCTGTACATATATACACATGTATTTACACAGTAATGCTGCAGTCAAGAAAGCAGATGATGTAAAAGTCATGAAGTGAATACATAAATCAAATAACTACCAGCAGAACATTAGGAAAGGTAACACTGTTCCTACTTGGCAAAAATGTGTTGTGGGACAGAGTCATTAAGTGTACTGCAATGTACTCTGTGTCGTGTGTGTGTGCGTGTGTGTGTGTGTGTGTGTGTACACATACAGGCATGCAAACCTCACAGCTTCCTGCTGTCTCTGGTTTGTTCATGTATGTCTCACTTCCCCAGTATGTCTTGTATGTGCATGCGTGCCCAGAGGAACCCCTGTTCCACAGCATGGAATTATTTTCTGACCTGTTGGAGTGTATACCAGTGCTTCAGTGCCTGTGAATCTTTAATGTCAGGAAGCCAGCAGGTTAAGATATCTGAACTACTAACACATCACAGAGATCCTTCTTTACCTCAGCACTCAGGGGATTGTACCCTTGACATTGGCAGACATGAGTCTTGCCCTCTGCAATATCGTTTCACTGTCTTTTTCTATACACAAGCAAGTTTATGCTGTGTCAGTTTTGTTGTCAGCAATGGCAGAAGGGTGCCAGAATTCACTCAAATGACATAGCTAGGAGAGGAATTTGAGGAATCTCAAGAAACGGAGAAAAAAAAAGAAAGCCAATTGCAAAGTGGTTTTTGTTGTTGCCGTTCTAGTGGCAGACACCCAGGTTTGTCTGCAGTCAGCCCCAGGGAGGTCCAGAGGGCCCATGATGAAAATGAAGCAATAGTGTTTATATTGCCAGTGAGACACTCGGCACCCCGATTTGCCTTTGATGGGGGAGGAGAGAGGAAGCCACAGGGAAGTGTAGGTAAATGCAGCAAGGGTCTATGGCTTGGAAATCTATTTGGCTGCAAATTGAAAATAAGCCCTTGTGGGGACAACAATCAGGTCCCACTAGTTACTATCTCAATGTAACTACCTGCAGCATCCAGCAGCATGGTAGGTGTGCTCCAGGTGGACACGTCAGGTGTGTTCAGCAGCAGGGAAGCACTTATGGGAAAGAGTGGGTGCAGATGGGGATCGTGGCTCGGAGTCTGTCCCCATTTGTTGCCAGCAACTTGGTTCCTTTCTTGCACACAGCTCCCAGGGACTCCTGTGGTGACCAGGCATATGCCACAGAAAGGAAGCATAACTGGACCCCACCCTTTGCCAGCTTGGACAGAGAAGAAAGGATGAAGTGTAATTCCACAGAGCAAGGGCACAGAGGGTCAGCACAAAGTCCTTTCATCAACGCTCCTGATCTTTATCACTTCCATTTTCCCTTTCTTTTTGGCAACCAAAAATATGTGGGGAAGTGCAACCTCCCACCCTTCTCCAAGAGAAGGGCTCATCAAAGGTTGCTTGACTGGAGTGGAGGATGTGTGAAAGGCCTAAGTCTGATCATTGGCTGTGTTCCCAGGCTTGCTTCCATCTGTTGATAAGCAATGGAGGTGGGAGGATATGCCATATTTGATAGAAAGCTCTAAAGCAAAGACTTGCCTATGAAGATCCCTGAGGTATCTCTGATCACTCCAACCTGTCACCACCATCATATTAATTCTTTGTCTCCCCCTCTCTCTTTTGCTAGCAATTTTGCTGTGAGCAACAACCTGATCTAAATGTACAAATGGGCACTATTCAAGATGGATGCTAGTGTCTTTTCAGAGTGAGGAGCTCAACATCAGCAGACATTGCTGAAGAAGAGACCCATCCTGGCAACTTTTAACCCCTCCATCAAATCCTTTGCAGCGTCACAAAGGAACCTTCCTCCCCCAGTATGCTGGAAATTGAAGTACCAGTTCCCTACAGGCAAAGTTCATACTTTGATATTGCTGAGCATTTTGAACCCACTGGGGTTCTCACCTGGAGAGCTCTGACAATGCATGCTGGATTTCAGAGAGAATGTGATTTTTTGTTGTTGCTGTTGCTGAGGTGGGGACGGTGTGCTTCATTGTCTCAACTGACAACAAGTTCTGACTGCAGCTTTTCTTGCTTACTTAGGATGTGACATTGCAAGCTCTGATACTGCCCTCACTGGGAGGCATGATGGGAGACAGAGAACTAGTACACCAGCCTGTGTTGTGTTGCACTACAGTAAAAAGCTGGTGTGAATACTCCAACAAGGTTTATGATGTGGAGATCCATGGCTGCAAGTTCTACCTGCCAGTTACTTTCTACTGTGTATGGCACATTTCTGATATTTTTTGCATATTTCCTCCATCTCCTTCATAGACATCCTCCTTCAGCTGAGTACATACACTCCAGTACCACTTCAAAAGAACATGGCTCATGAAAATACCTCTCAGAGAGCCATGCCTCTGGCTAGAAGTGAGGAGGTAAATGTCAGAAACATTGCCAAAGGTGCCTATTCTTTCCTGGGAGGCTGTCTGCAAATAATCAGTAGAGGTCACCGACTGTAGAGGACACAACGGTTTTTGCTTAGTATTCTTATGTGCAGAAAACTTCAGAGAGAGGAAATGTTCCCAGCCACTGCCCCATAAAATACTTGTGTTTCTACAGCAGAGAGAGAGAAATGGTAAGGCAGGGGATGTGGAGTTTTGTCAGGCTCTGGTATGAAATCCCATTCTTTTCTGGACAGGTAATAAACAGCACATGGGTGGTTTTCTAGTATAGACAACACCTGCTGCTAATATTACCTGTTTGATTCACTTGAATACTTACAATGAAAATACACCAAATCTAAAATTCTAAATATATAATCAGAGTTTAATAACATCATTGATTTATTTTCTTGATTATGAATTATACCCTCCCCCCTCCCACCCCTTCCCCTTCATCTCTGTCCCAAAAACTTGTTGACCTGTCAGAACTAAAATAAACAAAGCAACCAGAAAAGATCATCTGTAGGAGAAAGGATTAACCTGATGGACACGTGGCCTAATATATTACGGGAGAAGGCAAAATACCAGACTCCTGTGGTTAGACCAGTGGTTCAGTCCAGAATTTCCAGTTCTTCTTTTCTGGTTGCCCTAGAGCATTCATTTGAGTGGTTTGTGGCACAGTTAATATTTGCAGAGCACTCAGAGTGTTAACAGTGCTACAACAGTAAGAATACTAGATAATGATTTTGGCAAACTATCATTTGCCAATCAGTGGAACAAGGGACAGACCAGTTCGGAGAAAATACGAACCAACTTTCAACCCGGAACACAAAAATCAGAACCTTTAAGAAGAGATTTGAAAAAAGTTCCATTAACTTCTTTTTGGTTTGTTTTCAGCTTAATTTCCCTGCAGAGCCACCCTCCAGGTTTCCTCATTCCAGGTGGGGAGGGACGGAAAAGTACCAAGATAACCACCAAAGAGATTAGCTGCCCTTGTCAGCTGTCAAGCTTCCCAACCCCAAGCCCTTAGGAAATACCAGAAATTATCACGAGCTTTCCCAGGTCCAAGATTTCTAAACCAAAGTAGCACTGGAGAAGTCTCTTAATGTCAAAATGATGGTCCAACCTGAGTGGCCAACTTGATGGTTCACCCCACCACTATCAAGACAGTGTAGTGCTTTGAGGCCCAAACTCCACAGAGAGATGCTGGTACAGAGAGTTTATATGCAAAAAGGGATTGGGGGTGTTCCCATCAAAACATGAAACCCTGCTGGCAAGGCTTGAAGTGACGTTCCGGCGTCTTCCATTCATGAAGATAAAGGTGACAGGGCAATACAGGGGGCCTCGGGGGAACACAACACACATGGGTTTCTCTCTCTCTCTCTTTTTTTTTTCCTCATTCATACGGCCTCGACCTGCGTAAACCGCTTCCAAAAATGCAGCCTGAAAAGTCATAGAAAACAAACAGAATGGAAACAAACTTCCCCTCCCTCCCACCCCACGACCTGAATATTCACGAGAAGAGAAACACCAATTTATACAAAAACGCAATAAAAAAGAAATATTTACAAAAGAAAGGAACGCCTTCTTGGTGGCTGCTATCAGAGGTGTCTGACAAGCTGCCATGTGTTCTGGATTGCAGATCGCTCTGTTAATTTGTTTGGTTTCTTTTTTTTTTTTCTCTTTTCTTTTCCTTTTTGTCCTTGTAATGAGAGAAGAGGGAAAGAGTAAGAAGCTCCCTTACCCCAAAGACTAGGGGGTGGCATCACAAAGACTCTTCCCCTCTTTCCTCCTTAATTTCCTCTGTGAAATATAAGAAAATATTCCCCTCACCAACCCTGCCCATCCTCTCCTCACACACTTTGACTTTATAGGTAAATCCCACCCTCCCCCCTGCCTCAGCTTAAAAAAAAAAAAAAAAAATAAAAGGCCTTCTGTTGGCTTAAAAAGAGAACAATAAGATAAAATCAACCATGGTGTGGTGAGGAATGTCAGAGAGGTGGCTTTCAGCTCAAGAAATATGGCTCACAAAGACGGGGCTGCCATCTCCCTCCAGAGTCAATCCTCAGCAGCATGCCCATGCTCTCAGCACAGGACTCTCTCAACCCTTCACCTGGTGAGCCATGGTGATTGAGACCCAGGATAAGCCACAGAGATTTTGCCATATCTCTCAGGATGGGAGAGGCTGGTCCACACCCCCACCTCAGGAGATAGATGACATATGATAGGTGTGTTCAGCTTCTCACTCCTACCATTGCTCCTTTCCCTTTAGCTTGCATCTAAAATGATACAATGAAAAGAAAAAACACTCTTATTGATACTAAGTGCACCAGGAAAGCTGTCACTACAACTGCAGGGATGGGAAACCCTAGGCTATTCCAGCTTTACACCTGTGCTAGTATCTCTCTCTTTCACAGAGGCACACACACACACACGTACACACACATCTCAGCTTTTCACATCTTCAGTCTTCAGCACAAGTTTCTGTGCTCTCTGGCATTTATTCAAGCACATCCTTTCCCAGGAAGACAAGCTGTGTACTTCCTCTGTACATTCAATAGTAAATATACACATGTATTTCCCATGGGTGCATACACCCTCCTCCCATTTTCACATGTGCAAGGAGGCATTGAAACAGTCCACCAGCACCACCACTATCACACGCACCCTTCTATGGCATTTATTTTTTCCTTTCCACCATTGGTACAGGGCACCCTATTCTTTTTGTTCCAATCTGCTGGCCAAGTATAGAGAGAGCAGAAGGATTAAGCTCCTTCTTTCTCTCCAGTTCTTCCTGAAAAGACATGCCAAAATGGGTTTGGTGTCCCCTGAAGTGACAGTGAAAAAACTCCCCACCTTTCCCTACTCTTATGCTCTGTTCTACTGTGTTTGTTCTCCTGACACCTCATAGGATAGTGGGTTTAATTTGCTTTCTTCACAGACATTTCAAGTATAAAGTTATTGTATATACTCGCAGATAGGCAAACCCATACTATATACCACTCCCACCCTTGAAGAATGTCAGAACTAGTGAGCAGCTCACAGCTAACACACCAACCCTGTTCCTCTTTCCTCAAATCCTTCTCATTTCAGTGCAAACCAGCATCTTTTGTCTGAGTTTGGGAAACCAGCCCTGGAGTCAGGGAGGCTCAAACTCATACTCTGCTTCTTTTCTCTTCTCCCACTGGTCTGCCATAGATTCAATGACTGTAACAGCCATAGTGAAACCACTAGCCTGACCTGCAGACAAATCTTCCCTCCCTCCCTCCACACCCCCCAGCAGACAATTCAAAATTTTAGCGTAAAATTTCTCAGCATATACGCAAATATATATATATATATATATATATATTTCAGCCCTAAACCCCCATAGTCTTCACAAAATAATGTAACAAGAACCTCAATATAGCTAACATGTAAGTGCATCATCAAGTTAGTCTTGTTATTCTCCCTTCACTTTCCACGTCAAACACTACTCTTTTCTAGGCAGTTTTAGGAACAGTTGCCTGAGCAAGCATATTTTCTTGCATGTCCATTACACTGCTGCTGCTGCCTCCTCCTGTCACACACACACATAGGTGTGTGCGCACATGCCTTTCCCTGCTGGGAGCCAGCAGAAGTGAACACTAAAGTCACTGCTACTCTTCCTCAGCACGCCCCTTCCCTGCCTTTTTCTCTGCTTCCTGAAACCACAAGCAAGGATATCCAACTCTGACATCACTGTAAAGTGCAATGGCCAGGAATGGAGGAGAATGGGAGGAGCGAGAACATGGAAAAAGAGATAAAACGGGAGGCTTGGGAAAGGAGGAGGAAGAGGGGAAACCAAAGAGGTGGCACTTGTCATCAGTGCTGCACTACTCACAACTCCAGTACCCCACAAACCAAGGACGACTCAGGAGAGTAGCTGATGGGATTGATCCCACCCCACCCTCCCATGCTCCACATACATCCCCAGTCCCTCCCCACGCTCTTCCCCTCTCACTCAAACATCAGACTCAATACTGGAGAGTTTCTCATAAACATGCCCGTTGCTGGAGCCATTGAAAGCCCTGGGGTTTTTGTTGTTAGGCACACAGGGGTTGGACTGGTTCCCTATACAGATGTCCTTCTGGAAACGGGCTGGCACAGCCCCATGAAGGGCTGAGACCACCGGCTTGTTGGTGGTGACAATGGCTCGGAAGTCTGGCCTGGCTTTGGGCCCTCCTGCCACCACAGGCTGCCTGAAGAAATAAGATTTGCTGCCGTGGAGCAAGCATTGGTCATCCCCAAAAGTGGGGATGAAAGGGTTTTGGGTGACCCGATCAGGGTAGAGTGACTTGCTGAGCATGTAGCCCCCACTGCTGCCGGGGTTGTTGTGGTGGTGGTAGCTGGTGGCGGGCACTGAGGACTTGTTGTTGGCAAAGGTGGTCTCACTGGCTGGCATCTCAAACATGTGGGCGTAGGGGCTCCCCTCCAAAAAGCGGCCCTTGTCCTTGAGGCTGACGCTGCGGGGGGCCAGGGCTGAGTCATCCTTCTGCAGGTCCACAAAGGTGTCGTAGGAGTGCTGCCGGCGGAGTTTGTTGCGGTTCTTCTTCTGCACCTTAGAGGCAGAATTGGAAGGGCTCTGAGGATATTTGGAGGAGGAAGTGGCACTGGTGGCCACGGGCACAGGGGCAGGCGGCTGGTCCAGCTCTTGGAGCGAGTTGTCCTCACTGATGTCATACAGGTTGCCCGCTTTCTTGCAAGCCTCACAGCGGATGCAGGCCTGGCGGGTGGAGTTCTGCCCCACCGTTGATGGCGTGTAGTTGTGCAGCTTAGAAGGACAACTGCGGCAGAAATTAGCCCCGCTCCGGTCTTCCCAGTCTAGATTGGTCAGGTTCTTCTCCCACGGCGCTGGGACCCCACTCACAACGCTATGCTTGTGCTCATTGCCTCCACCAAACTCGCCTGAGCCATGCTTGTGATGGGCCCTGTTAGTGCAGGATCCACCCCCTCCTCCTCCCGTGTCACGCTTAAACTCATCTCCCCGTTCTTTGTAGATATCTGTCAGGTCCACGTGTTCCCAGTGTGGTGAGTTCTCCTTGGTCCGAAACTGGTCAAGATAGAAGTCCCGTAGCCCTTCCTTGTCCCTGAAGTAGCGCTTGTGGTCAGGTGAGCGGGGCGGGCGCCGGCGGTAGGCCAGCTCTATCTCATCAAATTCCCTCCGGGACTTGGCGGAGGCTGGACGCTTCTTCAGGCTGTCCTTGTACTGCTGCTTCCGCCTCTTGGCTGCGTTGCCCTCAATGTTGCCATAGGTGACCGTGTGAGTGGAAATGTCAGAGACATCTGAGCGGATCAGGTCGTCATGGGTCCCACTGCCCCCGTAACGGTCACCCTTGAAGGAGAACTTGCCATACAGGTCACCCAGCTGGCTGTGCTTGGCCGGCGGCAGTCCCAGGTCCAAGGGCTTCTTCCCGATGGAGCGCGACTGGGCGTTGAAGGGCGGGTTGTCACAGTCATAGAGCCCGTCAATGGAGCTGGTGCTGCCAATGCTATGAGGGCGGTGGTGGTGGTGGTAGTGGTCTTGGTACACATTGCTGTCCTTCAGCTGGAGATTGCCAAAGGTCCTTTCCACCTCACTAATGTAGTCACTAAAGAGGTTCTCCTCACAGGGGGGGTTGTTGTAGGATTTGCAGTCTGAGTGGGTGAAGCTGCGGCGGTGCTCAGAGATATCATAGACGGATGACTCGCGGCGGATAAAGTCCAGGGCACTCTGTGGTGAGCCATTGACCCCTGACAGGTTGGCCATGTTCTTGGCTGTCCGAAGCAGGCGGAGGATGTTGGAATGGGTGTTGTTCATAGTTGCTGTGGGGGAGTTCATTGCTGACTGGCGTTCTTCAATGGCCACGCCATGGATGCAGCTGTAGATACCCTGAAATGAGAGAAAGCAAGGAGGTGAGCAGTCCTGCAAAAAATACACAGAGGGGGACCTGAACTGGGAAGCATCCTGTGCATCAAGAGCGTGTTCCTGTGGGATAGCAGGGCCTATGAGCCTTACATCATGAGGCACAATCAAATCAAATAAAATCAGATATGCTCTACCAACCCTTGCTGTTCTGACCCTCTTTTCTTGACCCTCACATTTTTCTTTTCCCTCCATTCCTCTTCCTCTGCTGTTTCAAGTTGTATCTCCAGGATGCAGGAATGCCTACTTGCATCTGCAAGAGTTAGTCAAGTCTAGTAGGTATAACACAGAATTGCAAATGGGGACAATAATATCCTTGGGAATAAAAGAATCAAGACATATGATTCTGTGTGGATGAGAGGATGAAAGTCTGTTTTGGCCCCTGAAAATCATCTGGGCATCAGTTAATCACTGACACAGGAGATAACTTTAAAGGGAACAGCTTAATTTGTCATAAACTTAGCTACCTTTAACACCAGTACAGATTAGAAAAGGAAACACAGAAAGAGCAGAACTCTTTAATAGATATGTAGGTATTTTGCATGTGGTTTACTGAGGTACAATAGAATTCTTAACTGCATTCTGTTAAATTTAACAGTGATAACAGGCTCTAAATTGACACCCCTGAAAGCAGAAGTCCTCTAATCAACCTCAAATTCAATGAGAGAAAGGCCAAATTTCTCCATATTCTCCACAAGCTCCTTTCACCCATAACTGTTTGCAAGGGCTATCTGTAGGAACAGAACATAAGAGGCTCCTTTATTCCCTGACCTACCACATGGTGCCTGATGATTAATGTCAATTGTGAAATGGACACCATCACATTATCATGGTTTCTCAGCAGCTAGCAGATGATTAACATTTTTCAGACCTTTCACCAACCTAGCCCAGGTCTAACAGATAACCACAGAATGAAATAATCTATTCTTATCTTAGGGTCACCAAACACAACACCCCATCTCATCTCCAGACTAAACCACATTAGAAACTAACAATATAGAAAGAGAGGCTGTGCCCTTGCATTCAAAAGGCTTTGTAATTTCTCTTCAATATGTTATGCAGCAATTATATACTCCTTGTACAATCAAAGAAACTTCTGCTACATCAGCTGAGCTAAAAAATGCCAAGATTTGACCTCACTTCAGAATAGATTAGGAGAATGGACCAGTGGCTTGAAAGAAGGAAAATAAAGCTCAAAATGGGAAACTGCTAGCAACACTAATAGTAGAAGATGACTCAGAAATGGCTAGAATCTGTTTTAAATGTAAATGTTGTACCCTAAGGCAGATTTGCATAAAGCAATTGCTAAGTTTATGTGGTCATACTCTGTAGAAAGATTTCTGCATAGTTCAGGGCATGGCTTTCGGTAAAGGACTTCTGACTGTCAATGAAGGCACACTTCTAGTTAACAAAAGGTCAGCTGAAAAGCTGTAATTTAGAGGGCAATGTAAAACTCCTGAATTTCTAATCATACTATCCATCATTACTTGATTACATCTCACAACTCATTTTCGGGGAGCAAACAGTAACAGTTAACTTGTCTTCTCCTGTGTTTTCCTCTCCATGTGAAATTTCCATTTTCTTTACCATAATCCAGCAGAGAGCAGACATGTCACAAAAAAAACTAACATGTTTTTTCAACATTAACAGTGCAAAGATGACACTGTGCAGACTGCCACCTGTGTATTAGACAGTCTTGGTGGATATTCCCATCTCCAGTACCTAGGACTGTCTAAATAAAGCCTCTGTTCATCCCTGACAGTTAATGGCACTCACCCTGCTGATGGAGAAGACCACACCGGGCTTGCCAGAGCAGACACCCATGAAGCAGTGGCGGAATTGCCAGTAGAAGAGATGCTCACAGATGAAGGTGATGAGACTGAGGGCCATGGCTGCTCCCAACATGTAGAAGACACCTGCCATATTATCTATATCCAGCTGGCTGCTCATAACCTCATTCTTCTCATTGTGACAAATGCCAGTGAGCCAGAGAGCTTCTAGCTCCTCCATCTCCCCTAGAATGACAGACAGGAGGAAAGAAACAGATTAGATAATCCTGCAGTGGCTGAAGAGCTCAAACTGGAGCAGACTGAAAGCAAGAAGCTGATCTAATGTAATTTCCAGTCCCCACATTCTTTTTCCAAATTTACAACATCCATAAAATATTCTGACTGCCCTTCTGATGGGGGCAAGAGTCCATTTGTCACAGGAAAGTCAACGGGATTTTTCCAAAGCCTGATATTAGCCATAACAAGCTGTACCACAGGACACAGCTATGACACTTGCTGGATGTCTACACCGAGATCCTGAAACAGTTGTCTACCACATGACTGAAGACCTGGCCTCACAAACTTCCACTTCCATTAAGTCAATGAAGGGAAAAATTAGTGACTGATAGACAAAAATTAATCACTTCTAGATGAAAACATTATACGTTTCCAACTTGGAATAAAAATATTGATTGCTTTCAATCAATTTTTGCTTCTATCATATCCATAGCTCATTAAAATCAGGTGCAATGTTCCAAAACAAAATTCAGTATTTTTACTTGGTTTTCTTCCCTTCAATTTTTTCCAAATTCAACACTTCCAAAGGCTTTGACCAATCAAAAATTTTACTAATTTATATCAGCTACGAGCAAATGTTCTGTACTCTAATTTCATACACCACTTACTACCATTATGGTACTTTCATGAGGGGTGATAGAGAGGTAAACACACACACGCACATATTGAGACACTCAGAACAAACTAATTTTGCAGGATGACAAATTGTTTAATGTTGTTAGAAAAGTTAGTTTTTCACATTTTCAATCTCCAGTCCAGTGGCAGGGGGAAAAAATCCATATATTTAAGTAGTGCCATAACAGAGTCTTTGAAGCTTTGTGGTGAACTTATATCCTTCTCTGAAATAATACATACTAGGCTTTTTAAGAAACAGAACAATCTATGTGTCAGGTGGCCAACCTTCTGAAGTATGTCCAAGTTATGTTCTTTCCATATTTGTAATACCATATATTATTTTCAGATTTCAGGGGAGAAAAAGAACACTTATAAATAAAATAACCAGTGAATTTTATTTATTAATAAAAAAGGACCCAGGAAAATGTAACGTGAAATGGAAAAACAGGAAAATACTTGCTAATACTTTTCCCATGAACAGTTTTTGTCAGTACTAGCAATTTCTCTGTAAATAAGAGGTGAACTAATAAGAACATTATAGGTAACTATAATGTTCTTGTTAAAAACTCATTCCAAAATATGCTTCTGAGTCTCAAGCTCTTCCTTGCTTGGTTTGATTTGGTTTGGTTTGGTTTTTGGTTTTTTGTTTGTTTTGTTTTGGTTTCTTATGTTTTGGAAAATCTGATCTAGCTCTTTCATTAAGAAATATTTATCCTTTAATTCTGTAAACTCTGCATGGATTGATTCTGTCTAGAGCTATAAAGTATGGAATAACCACAGTCTGGTATAATTAGTGGGTTTGGTCATGGCAAAACCTCAAAGCTAGTGAAAAATTCACACCAGAAATCTTGTTTTTACAATATATTTTTCACATAAGATATTTTTCAAACACATATCTGAGCTTGTTCTACAAAAACTTTAATGCTTTTGGCACTGCTTTTGATTATACTGCTACCCTGCATCAATAACATGAAAGAAGTTACATTCTCGCATTTTTGGTGTGTTGCCTCTAAAGAAACCCCAATAATAATTCCATGTTCTCAACTCACATCTGAAGCACCAGAGCTAGAAACTTCCATTTCTTACACGCAAAACTCGGTATTTCTTAGGAAAATTCCAGCACTTCTTTTTCTTGTCACTTACCATCTCCAAAAAGCTGTAGAATTGCAAGATCAACCTGGCGCTTCCAGCCTGAGTCCTTTTGGATGGCAATGCCATAGCCAGTGGAGGCAAACACTTTCCCACTCCCAATCGTCACCAGCTTGCAGCCTTCATCTCTGCCAGCCATGTAGTTTAGCACTGCTGCATCATAAATGAAAGCATCCAACTTCCTGCACAGAGGCAAGAAATAAGAGGGTATAGTACAGAAAACATAACATCTGTATAAAATCAAAAGGTGTTTTTAAGGCAGCTAAGGAAGAAATTAACCTCTTTAAGATGTACTGCAATATGTCATGTATAATCATAAAAAGGTTTGGCTTGGAAAGGATTTTAAAGACAATCTAGTACCAACCCCCATGACATGGGCAGGAACACCTTCCACTAGACAAGGTTGCTCAGAGCCCTATCCAGCCTGGCCTCAAACACTCCTAGGGATGGGGCATCCACAACTTCATCACCCCACAGTAAAGTACCTCACCACCACCATGCAAAAGATTTTTTTCCTAATACCTAATCTATCTAATCTTTCAGATTGAAACCATTGCCCCTTGTCCTGTCACTATGCATTAACAAAAAGTTTCTCTCCAGCCCTCTTGTAGATTCCCGTCAGGAAGGTCACAATTAGGTCACCCTAAAGCCTTCTCTTCTGAACAATCCAAATTTTCTCAGCCTTTCCTTGTAAGGAGAGGTGCTCTGTCCCTTTAATCATTTTGGTAGCTTCCTCTGGAATTGCTGCAACAGGTCCATGTCGATGCAGCACTGCAAGTGGAGTCTCACCAGAGCAGAGCAAAGGGGCAGAATCCCCCCCTTCATCCTGCTGCCCACACTCCTTTGGATGCAATCCAGGATACAATTGGCTTTCTGTGCTGTGAGTGCCATTGCTGGGTCATGTCCAGCCTCTTGTCCACCTGCACTCCCAAGTCCTTCTTGGCAAGGCTGACCTTGATCCCTTCATCCCCCAGCTGGTGCTGATACTGGAGGTTGCCCCAACCCAGGTATAGCACCTTGCACTGGGTCTTGTTAAATCCCATTAAATCCCCATGTGCTCTCTTCTTGAGCCTGTCTAGGTCCCTCTGGATGGTATCCCATCCTTCAGGCATCATCTTCACCTTCACCATAGTTAAAAAAACCCTAAACCTACAGCTGTCTTACAGGTAAATCTGGGTTATAAATGAGGATAGTTTATTTCTTTCTATCTGCTAATCGTAATTTCTGATCTTAGAGGAAATTTGGAATACACATATACTGCTAGATAAAGATGAATGAAGAGGAAGTCAAGGGGATCTATATCCTTAAGAATAGCTTATATTTCTGTACTGCCTTTCATCTTGAAAGAATCTAAAATGTCTTATAAAATATACCAATATTAGATAGCAAAGTAGGGATTGAAGTAAGGAAGATATTTTCTTCAATTTAAATGCTGGCATGACTTAGCTGAGAAAAAATATTTTTTTTTTCAAATCAAATACAGTCGGGACATTATGTTTAGCCCCTCAGTTACTGTGAAAAGTACTACTAGATCTTTACCAATGTCAACTTGGCCACGAGAACAGCTTTACCCTGCTGAATTGGTCTTTGTTAAAGAATGTTCAGCTGAAAATTACAATAAAAATTCTGTTTCAACACAGAGAAATCTCCATTATGGACTGTGTATAGAGCACAATGGCCTGATGAGAGCCTTTTCATACTGCAACAAATTGATTTGGATGTGGGGGGCAGTCTCAGGAGGCTGCATCTTCCACAAACCCAAAGACAGCTGATGAGTAAATCCTCCCACTAGATCTGAAATGAAACATTTTCTGATAAATGACCTAAGATCTTCCAGTTGCACATTCTCTCTCACATAGTATGTTTACAATACACCTCCTGCACATATCTTTACAGTATGGTGATTATCTCAGTTCAAGTCCTTATCTGTGAGGAAGTCTGTCCAAGGGTGAATATGAAGCCAGGATGACATCTATCACAAGTGATGGGCTCAATTTCATCCATATATCCATATATTTCCAGGACAGTGCATATTTATTTCCTGAATGATGACTATCCTGGCAAATGTACCTTCTCAGGATAATATCCAACTATGGCGCAGCCATTTTTAATGGGCTGCAGGCCTCTGAACCTGGCAAAGAGGTTTAGGAATATTCAGTCAATCTAATAATTAAATTGGCTAAACATCTTACTTTGTGCTTTGAAATGAACTTTTTTCATAAGAGTGCAACATGAGTGTAAGCAAAAATATTTTTTGTTCACTGTGGCTGGGTTCTGACAACCAAAATGGTCAGTTCTGAGAGCAGGTCTTTAATTACAAAGGACAAAGGCTTGCAAAATGTCATTTTGAGTTAGGTCCTTTGCAGATTCACTATTATTAAAATAGGATGAGCTATTCAAGCATGCTTTTTGCTAACGATTTTTCCCATGTCTCCAAAATTACCCAAGGAAACACTTACATTTTTTTATATTTCCATATTATTCAAACAATGTTTTGTTTAGCCCTTGATACTAAAATATTCCAGAGAGTAGGCTACTTCCAAACTATTTGCTTCAAACCTACCTTCCATTATATTGTATTAGCTGGTGATACACTGGGGTGGGATTAGTCTGACAGCTTCCTGATTAACATAATCTTTTATACACAGAAGGAGGGAAAACAAAGGAATTTCCAGATGACAATATAAATGCTCTGAAAAAAACTTTGTCCACAGAGACCTGTGAGCTTTCCTTCTGAATGCATAAAAACCCATCGGCATGAAACATCTTGATGAAGCAAGGTTTTCAGGACCAATACACACATAGATTATGTACACAGGGATACAGTAGATCCTCTTTTTGTTTTTAAATTCTTATAAACAGAGCAAAACCAGAAACTTTTATACAGATGTCAATAGAAAAACCTGGCAAAAAGAACCACAGAGTCCTGTGCTACTGTGCTATGTGTTGTCTGGCTATACTTTTAACCATGGAATGATAATAGAGGCTCATTTTTCAAACCCTAAGAAGTAAATTTTCCAGAGAAGCATGCAAAAAAGGCAGGTTTCTGTGGTAAGTAAGCATGTAAGAAAGCCTCACCCAGTCTTCAGCGAGAACAGTGCATCGTCCACCCCCCTCTGATTGAACTTCACCATGTAGCTGTGCATTTCAGGGTAGTTGTTGCGGATGTTCCTTTCCGTGCTGCCGTTGGGAACTGTCCCGAAGCGGAAAGGGGGTGAGAAGTCATTTGGTTTCTGGAACTGAAGAGACAGAAAAAGGAATATTTCTCACAGTCTTTCAGACTGAAGCAGTCATCTGCTTGGGAGAATGTCAGAAGGTTGATCTGATTTTATTTTACTATCATGTAGAAAACATAATTGAGAATATATATTTTATTGTTTTCGAACATTAATATCTCCTATTAATGCCTAAGAAACAAGAAGTAAATCTGAGCAATCTGTTCTTTTTCTCTACTCTGGATTAAATGCATGAAATAGTCAGTGATCAGAGATTAAATAGGGGGTTTGATCAAAAGGAAAAAGGAAAGGGAAAATGTAACAGGGGTGCTGGAACACAGTCAAGAAATGGTTTCTGATAAAGTCTATGTGATGTGCTTTTTACCCACAAACCATCATTTAGTTCCCAAGACGTATCTTTTTCAGCTCTGTGGATGACTTTACACTTCCTGCTCCTGACAGATATAGAAAAGTAGTTAATGAGAAGAGATGCCTCTCAGCACACCTCACACCCACTTCACCAAACAAATTAGTAGCTTTCAAAGTTTTGGGCAAATGTCCCAAATAAAATGCTGGTAGTGGCTGAAAGTTACTAGTTCCATTGGATGCCCAGAACAGAGCTGGCAGAACACTCCAAAGCTTTTGCTGCTCACAAGAAATACATTCATCATATCATTCCCCCACGGCTGCAAGCCTGTGAGATTTTATATGCCACTTCCTTAACTCAAGTCATAATCAATGCTCTCTGGGATTTTATAAGGAGAAAAATTTAGACTGTCAATTATCAAGATTGCTTAAAACCCCTAGAACCAGCAGATGAGAAGGAGCACAGAACTATAAACCAGGAACTGAATAAGCAGTAAAGAAAAAGATGCAAAGGTTAAATGGAAGAAAGCCTCCTCCTCTCTGGATATATCAGGCAGTAGCTTGCCTGGTGTCATTTCTTGACTCCCAGCTGTGACTGTGTATTTCTGTGAACCTGAGAAGCACACTGACAACAGGCTAATGGTCAGACCAAAACCATTTAACAGCAGGAGTGCACCTGGTACCTGAATATGTGCAGTCATGCACTGCCACCTTCTACAGGGCAGCAATCTACAGAGAGTTCTAGCTTAAAACATATGCAGATGAGCCTTGTTCTTGAGCTCTACTTAAAGCCATTTTGGAACTTGGTCAGCTCAACTGAGGAGGCCAGAGCCCCTAAAGCAGTGTATCTCACTCACAACTCAGCCATGACGACAGCTAGAAGCTGGGTCTGTGGACAGGTGAACACTGTTCACCTGTTTCTGTGTATCAGCCAGCTCATCTCTCCAGTTTGGATGGCAAGATGGGCTAACTTGTATGTGCCTATGAAAGTGTGAGAGAGAACATCTATCCTACTGCTTTAAGCCAATAAAAAACATCAGGGCTGTTTTTCTGAACTCAGGTTAGTGCATCACCAACAAAACAGAAGTTTCACATAGCATAAAATAGACTGTAAAGTGTCTCTTAGAACTTTGTCACACCCTCTAGGGAGGAAGACAAACTCACAGCTATCAAAGACTGTAATGAAAGCAAACTTTGATGGGAGAAAAATCACCGCAGCATGCTAAAATTATTCTTTTTTACTAAGTTGATTAAAGCAGCAGCCTAGGGGACCCATCACAAGGAGGGCACTGCCATGCCAGACACAAAGAAACAAAGTCTCTCCCCTGACATGCTAAACCAGGAGATTGCAGTGTGAGCAACTTGCTCTCCCAGAGGCTGCAGAACTCCACCTTAAAGGAATACAGGATATTCCCATTCCCACAGAACCTTCCGACGGAGTACAGTCAACAGGAGAAGCATCAGGCAGGCCTGACCAACATTTGTGTGACTGAGTTTTGGCATGTCCATTTTATATTTCCACCCTCCATTCCCAGTGACACAATCTCTACTTTTGTCTGCTTCCATCATGGTGCCTACAGACTGGAGTAAGAAGGATTACAAAATCAGGCATTTCTCTGTGATAAGAGAAATAATCCCAACTCTGAACTATTTTTTGTCCCCTCGCTGTTCCAGAGCCCATAATAGCAGCCACAGGTGAAAGGCTCCAAATTTAATTTTTAATCTCCTGGGTAATCAATAAATGAATGAAAACATTTCTCTTGTAAGAAATTACTGCTTCTGGCAACAGGAAAAACACATTTCTAGAGAAAGAAGTCAGGTTGATGACTTCTGCAAATTCACATACTACTCATTCACTCACCAGTCCTTATCTCCTGCTGATTCCTTAGTCAGAACAGATCTTCAAATGCAAATTACTCTCCACACACCAATATGCACACACACTACAGCAATAGCTTGGTGAACAGCAAGACAGGAAATTATATGAAAGGATCCATATGGGGCCCACACCAGACTTGAGTGCCAAGAGGAACACAGATTCCCAGCTAACCTAGCTTAATATTTACAAAGCTGAAAGTAACCAATGTCCAGCTGACTCCACAGTTGATGCAGCCAGAGATAATCAGCTTCTTCTCCATATTTGAGAAGCAACAGCAGTACATGTATGCAGCTTTCTGATAAGAGAGAAGTTCAAAAATCCCCATGTGTGTTTCTTGGCAGTAAGTGGGCACAGCCCAGTCCTGGAATGAAGGGATCTCAAATGAGCTCTCCAGAATAAAAAAATATTGCATCATTCTAAATTAATTTCTGTCCCACACAACTCATCCTAAGGGAACAAGAAGACATGTGAGCCTTCCCAGAAAGTTCATGGGACAGATGGGGAAGGAGTGTGTCCTCTTCTGCCAACACGGTAGAGGAATGTGTGGAAGACCTGGACATAATCTGTAAAGCGAAACCTAATTGACAGGTTGTCACACAGTTGAGAAAGGAAAGCCACTTGTTTGATTTCTCCCAGGGGCTGGGACCATGAGCCTGGATCATGAATATCAGGCCCAGGGAAGCGGGGCTCTTTGGCAGATGGGTCTATAGGGAGTCTGAGACATGAGGGAGGAGCTGATGCACAGTGCAGGGGCCATTACATGGAAGAAGCCTGTGCAGAGGTAATCTCAATGCTGCAGTGAACACAGACAAAGGAATTTACCACAGATATGGACAGAAAGGGTCAGAATGTAGATTAATTAGAGATCTGTCCCATTATATTGTGCAAAAATTTCTCTTGTCAGAGCTTTAAGTCACAACAACTCCACTCCAGGCATCTGTGAATAGGAGTCCTGTGAGGTTCCGGCAAAAAAATTGCGTGGTAATAGGGGAAGGGAAGATAAGCAACTATATCAGTTTCTGAGAAAACCCAGCTGTACAGGGTCCATACTTGTAGGAGCCCCACATTATACTTGCCTGTAGCAAGAGACCCGTCCTGCTGCCCAGCTCTACCCTCCTCAAAGGGTGATTGCCTCTGAGGGAACCAGCAGAACTCAGCTGCAGTCCTGTTCCCCAAGAGCCCCAGACAGAGATATATCCCACTTGCATCCTCCCACTCATTCACCATGGAACCTCTGTTGTGAGATGTTCCCCTATTATGTACCCAAGGTGATGTGTGCATCCTCTCACCCATGAAAGAAGTCACGCATGCTTCCCATCAATTGTGAAGGTGGATGCTAGAGATGGGGGTGGAAAGCAGGCACTGAGGATGCCTGAAGGGCTGCAGTAGCTCTGGGACATGAGACATCTATGTTCAGAGCCCAATGGCTGCCTGCCTGTTCAGCTCCTCACTCCACAAACTGAAATCAAGGCGCATTAAGTGCAAAGCAGACCTCGGCTTTGCAAAAGTAACCTCCCCGAGTCAGAGAGCAGAAATCTTCCTCCTCTGGAGAGCAATAAACACACAGGCTGGAAGCTGTTAGCACATTCAGGGGGGAGAGCTCCTTTGCCACTCCCCTCCACATCTCTCCACGAGAGCTGTGGAGAGCGGCAGTGAAAGCGGGTGTAAGTGACTCGCTGGCAGAGCTGTTTCATTAGCAATTTGGAGCCATGCCGCGCAGAAAGCAGCATTGTTCTCAGATGTTCGGATATCAATCTGCATAATGAAACAGGTGATAGGAGCTCTTCCCATTCATGCAGCAGCAATTGGAGGGGATTTAGAGATGAGGGGAAGGGGTTATGTCTAATTGGCCACAATTAATTTGATGAGATTTTTTTTTTTCCCAATATATTGTCTATCACCGAATGGATCCTACAGAAAAGCACATCTGCACTTATTTATCTGCTTCATGTGGGCCCTGTTTACACTGTAAAGTGTTTGCCAATAGCATTGAAAGCAGTTTCCCAAACTCAGCAAGCTCTTGCAACAAAAAGTCTCCTTTTTAACAGCCGATCTACTTTTACACTGCTGCAAAAAACCCCAAATCAATCCACTGCTGAATAACATAATGAGCTGGTAGAACTTGGTGCAAGGCTGGGTGTGTGGGTGTAGTGCTTATACAGATTCTCTGGGAGGGCTCCTTACACTTTGTAAGGCCCAGATGACCAGTTTAAGTTCTCTACCAAAGGAAGACCCACAGCTCTGACAAATCAAACTGAGAGTCAAAAATTCAGCTCCTCTGTTAGCTTCAAGTCCAAAAGAGCTTAAGCCCTCATTAGATACTTTGAGTTCACTTCATTTACCTTAAAAGTAGGCGCCAAGGTGAGATGCCTAGGGAATTTCACCCTGGGAACTGGTCTGTCATAGTCCCTGTGTCAAATCTGCCTGCCACCTGAGGGCAGTTTGGACACCTAAAATAGCTTTAGACATCTACAGCAGCCCAAATTAATCTAGCCACTGGGCCATTCAGCCCTCAGGACATCTCTCACCAAAAGTAGAGGGAGCCAACCACTATGGGTAGCAACAAGCCTGAAATGCCCACCACACTCCTAATATATAACCTCTTTGCATTGCCCAAACATCCTCAATTGTCTCCTCTTGTTCTGGTTCAGCTGTATGTCACTGCAGTCAGCTTGACCCTTTCTTCATTGCCTGAAAATCCAACCAGGCTGTTTGCACAAGAGCTTCCTTCAGAACCTTAAAAAGTGAAGACTGGGTCAATGGTTTTCAGGTCTAACTC